AACTAAAAATTCAAAATAAATAACTTTCTTGTAAAACCTAAAATCAAAGAAAATTTTTCAAACAAAAAAAATAAAATTATAAAGATAATAAAATAAAAAATAAAAAAGATAATAAAAATGAAAATTCAAATTAACCTTCATAAATCAAAAACAAGAATTTTTTTAACTTTTCTACAAATTTCCAAATCAAGTGAAATTTTCAACAAACAACCAAATAAAAAAAAGAATCGGATAAGTAAGAAGAATTGAAATAAAAAATATAAAGTCATTCATTAAGAAAATTTGAATAAGATGTAAACTAATAATTCATCTTACATAATTTATAAAACTTTAAATGAACATTAAAAACACTGAAGAATCATGGGGGTCATTTGGAATTCAAATCTGAACGACCCTATGAAAACTGTGAGGTTTTATAAATTACTTAAACTTAACTAAAATAATTTATTTTAACAAAATCATAGGGATGTTTGAATTTAATTGCTCTAAATAAAAGAAATTAAATAAAGTGAAATATAAATAAAATCCATTAAGAAGTCGTAAGCAACTAAAATTTTTAACTTAAAATTTAAAATACATTAATACTTAAAGTAAAACACTAATAAACCAACATCACTGAACGTAACTTTAAGCCTTTATATCCAAGGTGTACAAAGATTTATTGGATGATTCAACCCATGGTTACTGATAAGAGTCTTCTGGTCAGAGTAGGTTTGACTACCTCTTTAGGCTAAGTACATTAAGGAATATGATACCCCTAGATGGCGGAAAGCCATAGACATCTTGCAGGTTATCTTCAATAAAAATACAATAAATTTCTTCAAATCTTCAATTCTTGCCAACTCTAGACGTCATGCAACACTCACTTATAGATATTATAGAAGTAAATAGTTTTATGGTTTGTTAGTTAAAAATGTTTGGCTAGAGAAGATTTCTTCGCTAGGCTGAATGTTTAGGACAATTAGATAATAATCTGTGTGCTGTCTTTTTTTAGACTAGCTTTTGATGTTTCACTTTCTTCAGTGAACATCACTTTAGTCTTATGATTTTGAGGTTTTTCATCTAATACAACATAAACCCTCACCTTCCTAGGCTTTTCACAATCTTATATAATTGGATATACGTCCTAAACTTCTAAATAAATTGTAGGATTGAAACATTAAATAACTTGACTTTTTAAATATGTAAATCCAAACCATAGATTAATTTAAGGTGTTACTAAGGTTTCCTCAGCATCTTCGACATCTCTTACTTTTCACTCCTTTTGATCCCAAAAATAACTATTACACACTGATCCTTTCCTACTTAATTTTCCTATAACCAATCATGGAAACTAAACAAAACAAAACTTCAATCTTAATCGAGATTTTTCTTAAGTGATTTCTATCATTTAATATGTAATTAACTATAGAGGCTGACACCTATAGGAAATTAGTAACCCAAATAATTAACCTTTTCTAATTTTTGGATTAAATTGGGGAAAAATCTGTCGGTATTTTTATAACCAAAACAATATCATAATTTTTTTAGTTTGAATAGTTGAACCCATTATTAAGTGATATTCTCATCTTTAAATGTCATATTGCTTATACTTCGTGTTCGATTATTTAAATAATTAAATAGTCAAGATATGTTTGGTCAAATCAAAACATCTTTTTTCAATACAAAAAAAAGATGAACATATTTTCTGGCAACTCTGTTAGGGACTAATTTTTCTCTCGATCTTTGATTGGCAGTTTTATCTTCATACATTGAATGTGTGTCTTTGACTATGGTAGATTAGGCTACTGTTCTTCCATTGATATACCTTGTTCATTTCTTCCTTGAGCAAGTATAATCAACTAATTTTCTTGATTCTGGAACCAATTATTTATCACCTTTAAAAAAATAAGTTTTAGAATCTTTAATTCTAAGTAATAGAACCCACAACAAAATAATAAGTTATTTTTTGGACAAAAAAAAAACAAATGAAATGAATTTGAAAAAAAATTGATCCTCTCCATTTTATGGATTGGGTCCTTCACATCATATCTGCTTCATTTCCTCTTTAGGTCGACTAATTTTTGATAAGTTAATCTAAATTCTATCATTTTTGAAACTTTATTTATTGAAGTAAAATAACAAAACAAAACCAAAATAAAATTTATATAGATAAGTTTTGAAAAAAAATGCTCAGTTTAACTGACGAGTCGTGAAGTACTTTGTCTCTTCAGAAATCTCCTCAAACAGTATGGAGTATTAAAAAGAATTTGACACACTTTGATAATTGCAAATTGCAAAGAAATGTCTTCTTCCAAGTTGACTTGCTCGATTGTGAAAAGATTGAACTTGCCTACAAGTAAAAGTGTTATATCATAGGGTTTAAAAATCAAGTTTCTGACTGGCTTTGATGAAATCAAAGTAATTCTTAAAGGCATATCATTTACAATAATGAAATCACACACCATAGAGGTCACAGAACCGTTAGTTGGGTTCAGTCTAATGCCAGCTTAGGAATTTCTATTGCTAAAGAGGGTCTTGAAAGTAGAAGAGTCCCTTATCGTCAAGCATACAATGAAGTCAATTGATGTCTGTCTCGTCACTTTTTACTGTGCTCTACCGAAGAGGATAGCGTTCTATAATGAATTGGGCATTAAATGTAGAGCAAAAATGATTTTAAAAAAGAAAACATTAAAAGAGACAAAATTAAAGATTATTATGTTGCAGCTCAATGAGGTCAAGGCCGGGGACGAGGATTAGGGAGAGAAAATTTGACCATTAAAAAAGAGAAAAAAACTGTGGAGGTCTTCAAGTCTTGAAAGGTGTCTGTCACTGACAAGGAAAGTAGACTTTCTGATACCTCTCCCCTATTAAGGGATGGTAGGTTTCATCTTTTCACTGCTAGTGTCGGTGAAAAGGAACCTCAACAGGATCATTCTTAGTTTGTCTCAATTCTCCCACCACAACAAAAATAAGGAAAAGAATAAGAACTTACTATTATTCAGAGTTCATTCAGTATTTAAAAAGCTTACTTGAAAGGAGAGATATTTTGTTGCCTAAATTCTATTGATAATATCACGTTAAATGAAGAAGAAAATTTTAGAAAATGAGAACCTAGCTCATAGATGTTCAGAGCTTATGAAAAGGATGATCAAGAAAAGAGTGATTTTTTATAAAGATTCTGGTGTTTTAATAAGATTATGACTCAAGATGAGAATGAAACTAATACCCTACAAATTAAGTCCTTTACTTTAAAGAACTTTGGCCTAGTCCTAAATAAATTCAGAATAAAATGGTGTGATTAAAATACAAGTAATTCACTAAAGATATTTCAGGCCTTTTAATTTTTCTACCAAATAATCGAGTCCTGAATATTGAATGAGTTATAATATCTCATAATTCATATTAAGAAATATTTAAGAATTCTTAATTTGGGAATTTTAGACATTCCAAATCCTCAAAAGAAATGCACTACACCAGATGTAGTAATTCTCATTGGAAAAAAAGAAAAAAGCAAACAGAAAAAAAAGAAAAGAAAAGATCAAAATAAATTATGTGAAAGACTCGAAGAAAAGAAATGATAAAAATAAATTATTTGAAACTTGATCTAAAAAGAAAGAAAAAAAATGTCTCCTTGAGAAGAAGCTTGAGGTGAGTATAGAATCAAAAAAATTGGTGTCTGAATTCTCTACTAACTAATAAAACATGAAAAACTTTCTTATAAATTTCTTATAATATTATATTCTGGAAAAAGTTAAGTGATCTTGGACTCTTTGGTTGGCTATTTACTGGCTTAAAATTAACTTTCGGAAATAAAAAAAAATTAATGACATGATTAAGATTTTTTAAATTTGCTTAGGCCCGGAAAGAGAGGAATTAAAGAAAGAGCTATGCTATTAGCAATTAATGAAAATTCGACCTCGAAGTCATATTTTCCATGCCCAATAATTCAACTTCAATTTTAATTCAAGAACGTCAAAGTATTTTTTCAAGACAATATGGAAATTTTGTACAAAATGGGTGCTAAGGAAATAACAACTACTGTAAATAAAGCTATGAAGTTGAATTGGTGTTTATGTGCAATTGAAGGAACATAATTTTGATAGACCTTAAAAAATGGTTTATTTTTACATATGCTCCCAGTTAATGAATAATATCTCAAGAAATACTATGCACCGTGATGTTTTAAAGAATAAATTTTAGAAATAAAATATTATTCTTATATAAGCTAGCGTCGCGCTTGTCTGGAACTGGGTTCAAATCCTAAATAAAAGAAATGTAACTAAAGAAACTCACAAAACTTAAACCAAATTGAATAAAAAAAACATTAAATCAAAACAAATCAAATTGAAATAAAAAAATAATAGAAATTAAATAAAATAAATAAAGAGAAAGAAACAAATGAAGAAAATAAAATAAACAAAAAACTAGTTTGAACATAGTTTTGGTGGGGTCATTACATTTCTTAACCCACGACTTCTATCATTGTGTAGTAGAACAATTAGGTTAATTGCACAAACCAAGTGAAAAAAATATTTTTATCATTGTGGTTTTACAACTTTAATAGAGGATCTGAATATACTTGGAAAATGTTGTTTGGTTAAGCGACTATAATATGATTTTTTATTCTTCTTTATGAACTATGCATAGGCTAAGGAGAAACGATTATCTTTGGTTGATAATTATCATGTGGGGAACTCCTCAAAATATCGCAGAACCAAAACACCTGAATGACAAAAGCATGAACCTTTCTCTTAAGGAAAACCCTAAAATAATTTTTTTCCAGAACTTAAGCTATTTAACAATAAGTTTTTCAAAGTAGTTTTATGAAGTGAGATTTTAGCCAATTTTGGCACACTAGATGAAATGCCCACTCTCGCAAGGCCTGACCCCTACCTCCAACTTAAACCTTTTCCCTCCCACCCTCTTACAAACCTAACTTGCCCATGTTAGCCTAGAAATATAATCTATAAATATGATAAATATGAATAAAAAATATCACCACAATACAATCACAATAACACCAATTCACATTTCTAATATTACCTCCTGATCCCATTGAAGTTTGGTCTGGTCTGAGAGCCGACAGCCGCCTGTTCACTACATTCTTCTCTCTATATGCTACTCACCACTGCTTCCCCGACGTTCCCGCCTTCCTATTCTACCTCGCTCACCCAGACTTCCCCCGCACCTCTGTCATCTCCTACCTTCCCCGCTTTCACTTGACCATCCTTTCCCTCCTTCCCCGCATGCTTTCTATCCGTTTCCCTCTCGATCCCTTCATTCTCCCCTCCGCTCTCAAGGCCTGCGCTGCACTTCCTTCCCTCATCGCTGGCCGATGTCTCCATTTACTCGCCGTAGTTTCCGGACTATGCAATGATCCCGTCGTTTTGTCCTCCCTCCTTCACCTGTATCTCAAGTGCGGCGCACAAAGTGATGCAGATAAAGTTTTTGCCAAAATGCCTCAACCGTCTGTCGTGGCCTACAGCGCCATGCTTGCTGATGCGGCTTCTCGTGGTAGCGTTTCCGTAGTAAATCGACTCCTTTATCAGATGCAGGTCTCTGGGGCGGAGCCGAATTCAGTGACGTGGAATGGCCTTATTTCAGGGTTTTGCCGAAGCGGGCATCCCCGAGAAGCGCTTTCTATGCTTCAAAGCATGCATTCTAAGGGGTGTGGGTTGGATAGTGTCGGTGCCTCAAGCTCTCTGCATGCAATTGGGGACATAGAAGATGCTTGGATGGGTTCTCAGATTCATGGGTGTAGTATCAAGCGCGGATTTGATTCAGATGATTATGTGGTGAGTGCGCTCATCAACATGTACGGAAAGTGCCGGTTTACAGAGGAGATGCATAAGGTTTTCTATGAAGCCTGTCACATAGATGTCGGATCCTGCAATGCTCTTGTGGCTGGGTTCTCTCGGAATGGTCTTGTCTGCGAGGCCGTGATGAGGTTTAGGAGGTTTCAAGAGCAGGGAATTGAGCTGAATGTTGTGTCATGGACCTCAATTGTTGCTTGCTGCGCTCAGAACGGAAAGGACGTGGAAGCGATGGAGTTTTTCAGGGAGATGCAGGGTGCTGGCATTCGGCCAAACTCCGTGACTATCCCTTGTCTATTGCCTGCATGTGCGAACATCGCAGCTTTGATGAATGGGAGATCAGCTCATTGCTTCTCTCTACGAAGTGGCATTTCACATGATGTGTATGTTGGCAGTGCTCTCATTGACATGTATGCTAAGTGTGGTAAAGTCAAAGATGCCCGAATCATCTTCAACACAATGCCGATGAAGAATTTAGTATCATGGAATGCAATGTTGGGAGGTTATGCTTTGCATGGAAGAGCAAAGGATGCGATTGATCTGTTTTATTTAATGGAAACGAGCAACCAGAAGCCTGACTCCATAAGCTTCACCTGCATGCTTTCATCCTTCAGTCAAGCAGGATTGAAAAATGAAGGGTGGCTGTTTTTCCACAAGATGGAAGAGTATGGAATTGCTGCGAGGATGGAACATTATGCGTGCATGGTGAGCCTCCTAAGTAGAGCTGGCAAGCTGGATGAGGCTTACAAACTTTTTGGGGAGATGCCGTTTCACCCTGATGCTTGTGTTTGGGGAGCACTTCTCAGTGCCTGCAAGGTGCATGGAAATGTGAGACTTGGTGAAATCGCTGCTGAAAATCTGTTCAAACTTGAGCCAGAGAATGCTGGGAACTATGTTCTCTTATCAAATATTTATGCCGCAAATGGAATATGGGATGGCGTGGATAGAGTAAGGGATGAGATGAAAAGATTGGGTATGAGGAAGAACCCAGGGTGTAGCTGGATTGAAATTAAGAACAAGGTACACATGCTTCTTGCTGGAGACACCTCACATGCAGAAATGGAGCAGATTGTGGAGAGAATGAAAAAGCTTGGGGTTGAGATGAAGAGACTTGGTTATCTACCAAGCACTAACTTTGCGCTGCAGGATGTAGAGGAGCAGGATAAGGAGCAGATGCTTTGTGGGCACAGTGAGAAGTTGGCTGTGGCATTGGGACTTATAAGCACCAGTTCAGGGACTCCTCTCCGAGTTATAAAGAATCTTAGGATCTGTGGCGATTGTCATACTGCTATAAAATTTGTATCAGGATTCGAAGGGAGGGAGATACTTGTGAGAGATACCAATAGATTTCATCTTTTCAAAGATGGGGAGTGTTCATGTGGTGATTATTGGTGAAGGCCTTGGTGTTTTCTCCTTCTGCTGAGC